AGGAGGCAGAGGAAGGAGGAGGAGGAGGAGGAGGAGGCGGAGGAGGAGGAGGAGGGGGGGGGCACCGCTGCAGTCGAGCTCCGCTTGCACTGGGGCTCGATCAGCGCAGGGCTTGCGTTAGCCTGATCAGAGCGACGCCGTGCATCCCAGCGCCCCAAGGTCCTGTCTCGTGGGGCCTCGCGGTGGCGGGGCTGAGAGCGCGGCTTTAGAGAACCAGCAATCTGCATAAACACACAAAGACTGTCAGAGGTCCCGCGCGAATTTCGAGTAGCGGCGCTGGACTTGGAGGTCCAGCTCCGATCCGAGAAGTCCGTGTGGACCTCCGCAAATATCTGTATGCCAGCTCGTGCTCTTCTGCGGTTGCCTTCCTCTTGCCAGGTCCCATCTCGCACCTCCACACCGAGCTCGAGGGGGGGAGGGGGGGGAGGGGGGGAGGGGGAAGGAGGAGGAGGAGGACGACGACGACGACGAGGGGAACGACGAGGAGGACGACGAGGAGGACGAGGAGGAGGAGGCGGAGGAGGAGGAGGAGAAGGAGGAGAAGGAGGAGGAGGAGAGGAGGAGGAGTAGGAGGAGTAGGAGGAGGAGGAGGAGGAGGAAGAGGAGGCGGAGGAGGAAGAGGAGGAGGAAGAGGAGGCGGAGGAGGAGGAAGAGAAAGAGGACGAGGAGGAGAAAGAGGAGGAGGAGGAGGAGGAGGAACGGGAGGTGCCAGCCTCTGCACACATGCGCGGATCCTGGCCGGGCCCACCCTGGGCCCCCCCGGGTTTGTCTGGCCGGCATCGGTGCAGGCGTGCAGTTGGCGCCTTCCCGCCATGCCTCGGCGGCGCGCCGGGGGGGGGGAAGTGAGAAGGAGAGCATCGAGAAGCTCAAGGTCGGCGGCGAGCGAGGGGGGGAACTTCGAAGTTCGAATCTTGAGGTTCGAGATTGTTGGGCGTGTTCGCAGTTTCCTGACAGGTTTCCAGGCTCGGGGTGCTTGCCAGCAGCTGCGCTTCGCCGAGAGCGTTCTGGGGGCGCCTGGATAGTCCCGAACGCCCGCCAGAGACCCGAGCTATGACCCAAAATCAAAATTCGGCGGCGCGCCCAGGGGGGGAGTGAGAAGGAGAAGGCCTTCTCAGAAGGCGGCGGGACTTCTCAGAAGCCAGAAGTTGTCCGTGTCTTCGGGGGGGGGGGGGGGGGGGGGGCTAGAAGAATTCTCGGAAGACCCAGCGACTTCCGAGCCTTCTGAGAAGGCTTTCTTCTTCCCACTTTCCCCCCTCTCGCTCGCCGCCGAATGCCATACCCACCCGTTCTTCTCGTGACGCCCAGTCACTGGCGGGCGTAGGGAGGGATGCTTCCCCACGGAACTCCTTGTGAACGGGCGGTTGGACCGAGGCCTCCGCGCGACAACCACCGCATGAGGAGGGATTGCGCCACCCATCGCTCATTCGGGCCAGCGAGGAGCAAAACGAGGAGGAACAGCAGGGCGGAAGGAGGGAGGAGAAGCGAGGATGGTTGAGGAGAGAGGCAGGGGAAAGACGGGGAGGAGGGAGGAGGGAGCGGGACGAAGGAGGAGGGAAGAGGAGAGGGAGGTCCGTGGCAGATGCGCCCGGCCCTGGAGTCTGCCGAGGTGGCAGAGAGCATAGTGAAGAACGCGCCCGACTTCGAGTCGGTCTCCGAGAAGGCCCGGATGTGGTGGCTTCGGACCTTCAAGCTCGGCGCTCGGTGGGCCCTGCTCTGGTAACGAGGGCTCGACGAGGTCGCTGACCCGCCCGCGGCGTCGATCGATTGGGGTCGGGGTGGTCCGAAAAGGGCAGCGGGGCGATCCTTTCGGCGATCGATCGATCGATCGGTGGGGCGAGGCTCCGCGCTTCGAGGCGGATCGAGCAGGCTGGGATCAGGATTGAGGCGGGCCTGTCCCTCTACAGGGGGGATATTCAAAAATAGTCCAAGACTAGTCCGGGGACTATGCTTTGAGCATTTGTTTTGAGCCTTTAGGAGTACTTTTGGAGTATGTGTTATTTTTCGCCGAAGCTCCCCTGTACAGTCGGGGCGCTGAAGAAGGAACCCTTTTTGTTGGGGAGGGGCTCCGTGTTCCTCAGCTTCTTTACAGTGCTCCTTGGGTTTTCATGAGGTTTTCCATGGGAAATCGGAGATTACTATATGGGAAAAAGGGGCCTCGTTCCTTATTTATCGTTCCTTGGGTCAACGCCCCGACTGTAGGGGGGCACGCCCGACTTGAGATCAGGATCAGGGCCGAGCCGTGGCTCAGCCCGCCTCGCCGCCGTGCGGGTGCTGCTGGAGGTGCCCCCTGGCCCAAAGGGTACCCCCAGGATCCTCGGGGTGACCCACCATGACCTTCCAGGAGGGCTAAAAAATAGCACCCGACGTAAAAAACCTATCCCAGAGCTATTCTACGTTTTGGTTTTAGGCTGTTTCGTCTCGTTTGTTTAGGTTTTTAGGTTTCCAGTGCTAAAAAATAGCTCTCTGGAAGGTCAGGGCAGGCAGCCTCCAGGGCTGCCTGGGCCACCCCGCGAACCCTGGGGGCACCCTTGGGGCCAGGGGCACCTCCAGCCACACCCGAGCCGCGGGGGCGCCTCTGCTCGGCGCCGCGCCAGGGGGGGTGGGGGGGGAGGCGACAGCCTGGCGTCGCTGGGACGTGTGCATGTTTTCTCGGCGAGGACCCTCGAGGAGCATCCTGGACCATCGAGCCAAAAAAAAAAAATGATAACAAAAAAAAAAACGCGCACGAGACCGAACAACGCACGGGAAACGGACGCCCGAGCGACGGCAAGAGACAGGGCGGGCAGGCCTGCCCAGAGGTCGGCGGGCGTCCCTCCCGGGGGGGCCTCGGAGGGACCTCCGCGGCGCGTGCGGAGAGGCCCTCCGTGGCCTCGGCGCGGTCGGGCGCGTCCCCCTCCAGGGGGGCTTTTGGACGAAAGCCTAAACATACGCCAAAAAATAGTGGAAAAAAATAGTCAAAAAGATGCCCCCAAATAGTCAACAATTAGCCAAAAAATAGTCAAAACATGGTCGAATTTGGGGCTCAAGAGATGCCCAAAAATAGTCAAAACATAGCCCCCAGACTACTGTTTGACTACTTTTGACACTGCCCCCTGTAGAGGGACAGGCCCGACCTGAGGCTCCGGGGAGAATTGCTCAGAGAGTTAGTTTCTCACGAGGCCGGAGGCCTTCTGAGCCCTCTCAGCCGGCCCGCCCCGCTGCGGTCCCCCCCGGGTGCGCTGCCGATCTGAGGTCTGAGCGCTCCATGGCCGTGATCGGCGACACGTACTGGTTCTGCATATGCTCCTACTTCAAGGCCGACAGGCACAAGGACGTGGAGCAGCGCCTGTACGCGCGGGTATCCGAGAACTTCGTCGGCCTGTTCCGGTCGATCAGCCACCAGCGCAAGGACTTCTTTTTCAGGGGCTACGCAGATGCCGTTGCGCAGGCAGTGTTCTACTCGATGTTCATCCTCTACCCCAAGTCGCGTGCCAGCTTCAAGTCCGCTCTCCGCAGAGAGCTCGTGACCCAGATATCCTACTGGACGACGGGGGTGCGCCTGGAGCTCGTGGACACCTCGCACTGGAGGCCCACCGTAGTCATAAGGGCATGCATACGCAGTTCAAGGAGGCCGCACGCACACTTCCCTGAGATGCGACGCTGCAGAAGGTTGCAACATCGCAAAAGATCCCGACCGGACCCCTCGGGCCGCATCCTCCCGCGCCGTTTTTCGGGCCGCATCGAGCTGCGAGGGTCCGGGGGCCCGAGAGGGGGCGAAAAAACGTCCGGCTCGAAGGAGTGGCGCAGCCAGAAGCTCAGGGTTGTTTGACGTCGCGGCCACGCGCCTCATTTTTCGAGCCGCACCGAGCTGTGAGGGCCCGGGGGTCCGAGAGGGGGGGCGAAGAAACGCCCGGCCCGAAGCAGTGGCGCAGCCAGGAGCTCAGGGTTGTTGGGCGCCGCGGCCACGCGCGCAGCACCGCGGCGTGGGAGCAGATCGAGCACACACACACACAGACACACACACACACAGACACACACACACACACAATTTTTGCGCCGGCGGCCGGGCAGCGGGACCGCGCCGGCGGGCAGGGCAAGAATGTGGGGCACAGAGGTGCGGATCAGGCCGCGACGCACGTGCGGAAGAGTCGGGGGTGGACAGACCTGCCACCCTGACACGTCGATTAAGGAGTTGCCCGTTTTGCGGTTCGCGAGAGGGCGTCGCGGCCGTCATGTCTGCGGGTCCGGGTCCGTCGGTTTCGGTCCCAGGCCGTTTGCACTAAGGGGAGGTTTACTAAAGGGAGGCTTGTCCACCGCCGAAAGAGGAGGAAGGCCCCGCGCGGGCGGGAGGGAGGAGGGAGCCACACACACACACACAGCGTGGGCCCCCCTCGGGAGGCCGCAGACAGCCCACAGAAACGTGCCGTCGTGTTTTTGTTGTTTGGTGCTGTGGCGCGAAGGGTGCGTCGGAGGGAAGTTCCCGGGCCGCGGGTGGAAACAAAGCTTGGTCGGGCATGTCCCCCTACAGGGTTCAAAAATACTCCAGAAATAGACTGGGGACCATGTTCCAGAATCCGCCCGTAGGAGGACATCCCCGACCTAAAAGAAAGCATATCGTCAGGTGTCTGCTGTTATGGGCGCGGGGGGGGGGCCAAAGATACAGGGGTGGTATGGGTGGATGCCATGGTGGGCTTCATCTGACCTCACCTGGCTCAAGAGTTATAATGTTCCAACCTACTTGAGCCTTGATCACCAGTGATCACCACAAAGAAGTTCGAGCCCCAAGAAAGAATCGAAACTCGAGGGTTTCCACGTGTCGGGCCCTGGGAGGCGATACTTTTCCGACACTGTTCCGATATTTCTCTGCGTGTTCGAAGTTATTTTGGGGATGTGGTCCTTCAGTCCGATGGGAGCAACATAATTCAAGAGTGGCCTACGGATGCGCCAAGTGGTTTAATAGAAGGGCTAGCGATCCGGGCTGAGTGGGCTCCGCCCACTTCGCGGAGTTGTCGGACCCCTCTATGTCACTTGGGGCAGTTGCAATCGACTTACAAGCTAGGTTCGCGTCGTGCCGACCGGTGGCGACCCCACCGCGTGCGTTTAAGGTTGAACGCCGCTCGTGTCCCAGAATCGGCCCGGCATTGAACGATCCGGCGTTCACGGAACGGCCGATCGTTCAAGTTTGAACGATCTCCGCGGTGTCAGGAATCAACGCCGGGGGCGACACGACGCGAATTTGCCGCACAAGCTAGGTGCGGACAAATTCAATCCACCTTGGCATCCACTACTAGACCCCCGATCCCCTCGGCAACCCCCGCGCCCGTTTCAGTTAGGCTGGAAAGCCGCACGAGCACGAGCTTGAGCCTACCCCTCCTAACGGTGTAACTTGGAACTTGTGGCGAAGGGTTGAAAAAACAACCAAAGAACATGTTGTTGCCCAAAGTTCAAAATCAGTCCGCCGAGAGTTCGCTGGGGGTACCCGACGGAATTCCAACAAACAACAGAACTAACGGCGCCGGTTGTGATCTCCCCGCCGCATCGCCCTCGTAGGGCCCGTTCCCCGGGATCCCCAAGATAAATAGACAATATCAAGGCAACGCAGCAGAAGTCAGAGCACTCGTTATTTCATCAGCGCACGGGCGCTCGTTCAGGAACTGCCGGTTTCGTGCCAACGGCTGCGGCGAATGGACAAACGAGGAAGCATGCACGTGCGGAGACTGGAGGCAAAACAGGGGAGGAGAGGGACCAGGGACGACACGCATGCTACACCATGCGGCGACGTGACACTCATTCGCATCCCTCCCTGCTTGAACGGATCGCTGGAAGGGCGTTCCTGAAAGGGCTCCGCTGGCACGTGCCCAGAAGAGGTTTTTCCCCCCACCCGACAGGTTGGGGTTGATGTTGAATCTCTAAAAAATCTGAAGATAGAGAATACCGACAAAACCTCATCAGCAACAAGAGGACCATAAAGTTTGCGAATCATGAGTCCAATCGGAATAGAGACGGAACAAGAGACCACCAGAAACATTCCCATTTTTACGGGTAGCATTGTAATGTCGTATGATTTTGAGCTGTCCATTGAGAGCAGACTTCTCGGCCCGCCCGCCCTGCAGACCGCAGCCGCCACATCCCCAGGCTCCCGACAACCCCTGGCGGCCCCGCCCGCCCGCACGCCCCGCCGTGCGCACCGCGGCCGCCAGCTCCGCAGGCTCCCGACAGTTCCTGGCGGCCCCGGCCCCCCCGCCGACATCGCCCACTCTGCACAGATATCCTGAGATCCGACGTTGGGGGAACAAAGAGTGGCATGAACATAAAAACTCGGAGGTCCGCGCGGGTTTCTCGGATCGGCGCTGGACTCCCCTGGCGGCGCCTCCGGCGCCGCCCCTGGCGCGCTCCGCGCGCCAGGGAGGGGGGTCCCCCGCCGATCCGAGAAATCCGCGCGGACCTCCGAGTTTTTATGTTTAGGACACTTTTTGTTCCCCTACAAATTATCCTGAGATCCGACGTTGCCATAAATTTGCGACATCGCAAAAATCACGACCAGACTGCGTCATTTTTCGGGCCGGATCGATCTGTGAGGGTCCGGGGGCCCGAGATGGGGCAACAGCGCCCTGCTCGAAAAAAATGAGTCGCCAGGACCTCAGGGTACTGCGGCCGAGGAGAGGCACGTTCCGGCGGAGCCCTTTTCGCCCTTCCCGGTGGGGTGTGTGCTTCGAAGAAGAGAACAACGCCATAAGCATGAACTGATGGCGCTCCGCGCGGAGTTCTTGGATCCGCGCTGCGCCCCCCCCCCAGAGTCGCCTCCAGCGCCGCCCCTGGCGCGCTCCGCGCACCAGGGAGGGGGGTCCAGCGCAGATCCAAGAATGCGGGTCCCAAGAATATTCCCCACCACCACGTCGATTCTTCCTCCCTCCACTACCCTCTTCTTCCTCTCCTCTTTCCTGGGGGAGGGGGGGGGAGGTGGTGGTGGTGGTGGTAGTGAATACGTTGGGCCCCGCAAAGAAAGCCGCGCGGAGCGCCACAAGTTTATGTTGATGGCGTTTTCTATTCTTCTATAGGTGTGTGCTCCCCGCCTCCCCGGGCTTGCCGCCGCGGCCGCAGCCGCGGCTGCCGCGGACCGTGGGGAAGGGCCCCCGCCCTTCGCCGCCCCCTTCCCTGGCCCCTCCCCTGTCCCCTCCCCTGTCCCCTCTCCCCCCCCCTCTCCCCCCATCTGCCTCCCCTTCCCTGTCCCCTTCCTGTGCTCCCCTCTCCCCCCCTCTCCCCCCCTCTCCCTTTCCCTGTCCCCTCCCCTTCCCCTCTCCCCCCCTCTGCCTCCTCCCTCCTCTTCCTCCTCCTCCGCTTCGGCCCCCCGCGCTCTCCAGAGCTCTCTCCGGAGGCCTGCCTGTCCCCCCCCCCCCGGGCGCCGCAGGCTCAGCCTGGGCAGCGGCGACGTCCTGCAGCCCGCCCCCCCGCAGGCCCCCCTGCAGAAGAGCGCAGGCGATCCGCCCCCCTCGCGCGGGAGGGGCGGGGCTCCCCCGCCAGGACGGGGGGGGGCTCAGGGGCAACACTAAGGAGGGGGGGGAATGGGCTCGGTGTCGGGGGGGGGGCCTCCTCCTGCCCATCCTCCTCCTCTTCACCTCCTCCTCCTCTCCTCCTCCTCCTCCTCCTCCTCCTCCTCCTCCTCCTCCCCTCCTCTCCTCCTCCTCCTCCCCTCCTCCTCCTCCTCCTCCTCCTCCTCCTCCTCCTCCTCCTCCTCCTCCTCCTCCTCCTCCTCCTCCTCCTCCGCGGGGGGCTCAGGGGCAACACCTGGGGGGAGGGGAGATAGGCTTGGACCTGCTGTCAGCAGCTGCGCCGCGGAGGGATCGGCGGTAGGCCTCCGAGGGCGAGGCCGCACGCTCCCGGGCGGGGGGGGGCCGTCGGGCCCTTCGTCGTCGGGCAGTGGGCGATCGGGGGGTCGAGGCGCCCCCCTCGCTGCACCGCCGCTCCCGAGGGGCCACGGCCATCACGGCCACGGCCATCACAGCCACGGCCACCACGGCCACGACCACCACGGCCACGGACATCACGGCCTCGGCCACCACGGCCACGTGACGGCCTCGGCCACCACGGCCACGGCCACACGGCCACGGCCACCACGGCAGGAGACAGCGTTGCTTCACCCTGGGATCCTGGCGACCCAATTCCTTCGAGCAGGGCGTGTTCGCCCCCCTTTTCGGGCCCCCGGGCCCTCGCAGATCGGCGCGGCTCGAAAAGTGAGGCAGAGAGATAAGGTCCAGGGGTCTAGTCGTGATTTTTTGCGATGCCTCAATTTTTGGGGGAAACGTCGGATCTCAGGGCAAGGGTCTGGTGATGGCCCGGGTGGACGGGCCTGCCCACCCCCCTCCCCTTCTCGGCGGCTGCGCGCAAGAGCGACCTTTTTCCGCCGGAGTGACCTTTGGTGCGGGCTCGTAGCGATAGCGGCGGTCACGGCCACGGCCACGACGACGACGACGACGACGACGACGACGACGACGACGACGACGACGACGACGACGACGACGACGACGACGACGACGACGACGACGACGACGACGACGACGACGACGCGCGGCGGCGGCGGCGGCGGCGACGACGACGACGACGACGACGACGACGACGACGACGACGACGACGACCCTGGCCTGCGCTTGGATTAGGCCCCCGCAGGGCCCCCGAAAGGGCCCTTGCGACCTTCCCCCCTGGCCTGACCTTGTCGGTTGCGCAGGTCCGGGCGGGGTACGCCGTATGGGTGCGCGCGGGCTCACGCGGGGCTGCCCAAAGTAGAACGGTTAGGTTATCGGCCGACACCTCGCTCCTAAAGCCAAAACCGATACGGACTCCTCCTCCTCCTCCTCCGCCTCCTTCTCCTCCTCCTCCTCCTCCTCCTGCTCCTCCTCCTCCTCCTCCTCCTCCTCCTCCTCCTCCTCCTCCTCCTCCTCCTCCTCCTCCTCCTCCCTCGTCACCCTCCTCTCTCATCCATCCTTCGTCGTGGGTCCTCCGGCACCTCCCTCCCCCCCAAGGAATAACCTGGATGATCGCCGAAGTGAAGCAACGGTCTCCAGGGTGCGGTCCCAGACGTCCGACGATGTGATGTGTTGGAGTCCCAGCCTCTCCTGGCTCGCTTTCGGCCCAGGAGTAGGAGGAGGAAAAGGAGGAGGAGGAGGAGGCGGAGGCGGAGGCGGAGGCGGAGTAGGCGGAGGAGGAGGAGGAGGAGGATGAGGAGGAGGAGGCGGAGGAGGAGGAGGAGGGGGCGGAGGAGGAGGGGGAGGAGGAGGGGGAGGAGGACGAGGAGGAGGAGGAGGAGGAGTCTGTTTGGGAACCCCGGCCTCTTTTCGCCTTCGGCCCTCACGGGGCCCGCGATCGGGCCCCAGGACCGATAAAAGAGTTGCCCTGGGACGGCGCACTGCCCTCGGGGCAGGGGTCGGGACCTTTTTCTGGGGGCGCGGACTGAACAAACCCATACAGTCGGCCCGAATTAGTAGGTTGAAGTCGGGCCTGTCCCTCTACGGGGGGAAAATTCAAAAATAGTCAAAAAATAGTCCGGGGACTATGTTTTGAGTATGTTTGGGTATCTTCTGAGCATTTTTCCAGTATGTTTAATTCTTCACGCTTCGCGTATCCCCACCAGCCCATGTCAAAACAGCAACTCTTGCGAAGCATGCCGACAGTCGTGTTTTTCAGGCGTGTTTCCGCCTGCCCCCGCATATCTCCCCTGTTCCTCCTTCCTCCCGCCTCCGTGTACATCCTCCTTGTGATGGGAGCGGGAGAAGGACGAGGCGGAGGAGGAGGGAGAGAAAGCGCTCCTCGTGGTTTGAGTCGTTTGGGGTTTCTCGTCCTGGTGTGAGTCGTTCGGGCCTTCTCCTGGTGTGAGTCGTTCGGGCTTCTCGTGGTGTGAGTTGTTCGGGCCCCTCGTCCTGGTGTGAGTCGTTCGGGCCCCTCCTCCTGGTGTGACTCGTTCGGGCTCCTCGTGGTGTGAGTCGTTCGGGGCCCTCGTCGTGGTGTGAGTCGTTCGGGCTCCTCGTGGTGTGAGTCGTTCGGGCGCCTCGTCCTGGTGTGAGTCGTTCGGGCCCCTCCTTCTGGTGTGAGTCGTTCGGGCTCTTGGTGGTGTGAGTCGTTCGGGCCTCTTGGAGGCCTTTTGGGGCGTCTTGGGGGCCTCTTGGCGGCCCCAGGGGCTTCTAGGAGCGTCTTGGGTGCCTTGGGGGAGCCTCTTCGGGCCTCTTGGGAGCCTCTTGGAGGCCGTTTGGGGCGTCTTGGGGGCCTCTTGGCGGCCCCAGGGGCTTCCAGGAGCGTCTTGGGTGCCTCGGGGGAGCCTCTTGGGGCCTCTTGGGGGCCTCTTGGGGGCATCTTGGGGGCCTCTTGGAGGCCTCTTGGGGCCTCTTGGGGCTCTTTGGGAGGGGTCTGGGAGGTATCTTGGGGCCATCTTTCGGCCGATCGATCACAGCTGGGGCGAGCATTTTTCTGCCTCCCCCCGTCGGGGCCAGAATCCTCGTGAGGGGTGTCGTTTTTTAGCCCTCCCAGGAGTCGAAAAAGACCCCTCCAACCACCCGCGGGGCGCCCTCTCCAGGCCCAGGGGGAGGGGGGAGGGGGAGAGGTAAACCCCTCCCCGAAGGGGAAGAAGGGGGGTTGAGAACAGAGCGGGCTCTCTAAACCACTCACGCCCAAAGGGCTGGTGGGATTTTTCGCCCAAAACCCCCCTGTAGGGGGACAGGCCCGATTTAATAGTAGGTCGACCCTGCCAGCTCAAAGGTACCCTTGTGTCCTGTGCCTCGCGACACGTGCCTTCTTGCACTCTATGGCGATGTGGCCCTCAGCAGGGTCTTGTGTCCTCTCGCGTGTCCTGTTCAATCAAGGCCGACTGTATTACGGAGGATGTCAGGGGCTCGGGTGCTGCAGAAGGACCTTTTCTGGGGGCGCGGACTGAAAAACCATCTTATCGGGGGTGGACAGACCTCCTGCCCTGACACGCCGATTGGCGGACTGGCCGTTTTCGGTTTGCGAGAGGGCGTCGCGGCCGTCATGTCTGCGGGTCCGGGTCCGTCGGTTTCGGTCCCAGGCCGTTCTCACTACAGGGAGGTTTACTACTGGGAGGTGTGTCCACCCCCGACACTACGGCGGATGTCAGGGGCTCGGGTGCTGCCGAAGGCGCCCCTGGCCCAGGGGTCCCCCGGGGGATCCCCGTGGGGGAGGGCCCAGACGGCCTCCACAGAGCACGCGCCATCCGGCGGAGCGGCACGCGAGAGAGGGCCCCGCGCACGCGCGCACGCGCGCGGGCGGGCGGGCGGGCGGGAGGGAGGCGGCCCTCTCGCGCGCACGTGCGCGGACGCGTGCGCACGACCGTGCGCGCACGCGCTGGAGGCGTTGGGTGCGAGGGCGGCCCGGGGCGTGGCAGTCCGAGGAAGAGGGCGCCCGCGCTCGTTCGTGCAGGCTCCGAAGCGATGCCCCGTCGGGGCTGCTGCTGCTGTCCCCGCACCTCTGTTCTTGCCCGACCCTCTCGCAATCCGAGAGGAGTGGGTGAGAATGAAGAGGGCGGAGGAGGAGGAGGAGGAGGAGGAGGAGGAGGAGGAGGAGGAAGGAAGAGGACGAGCGAGACGGAAGGGGAGATGTGAGGGGGACCGAAGAGCCGCAGCAGAGGACATAATATGGGACGGAAGGGCCTCGCCTCGCTTCGTCGGCGAAAGACACGGCGGAAGGTCGGCAGAAGGCGGCGGAAATAAAACCAGGGCGCCGCCACCAACGGAAGCGCGGAAGCTCGGCGGCAGGCGGCGGAAGTGCAGGATGCTTCCCCAAGAGATGCCGACTTGTTTTTGAGCCCAGGGCCCCCAGGATCCCCATACAGTCGGAGGGCTGAAGAAGGAACCCTTTTGGTTTGGGAGGGGCTCCGTGTTCCTTAGTTGTTTTACAGCGCTCCTTGGGTATTCCTGAGGTCTCCCATGGGAAATCGGAGTTCAATGTATGGGGAAAAGGGGCTTCGTGCCTTATTTAGGGTTCCATCTGTACATCAAACGTGAGGGGCAGGGGAGGAGCGAGCAGCAGCGAAGAAGCGCAAGAGGAGGGCGAGGGGAAAAGGCGGCGAGAATTAAAACCTGAGCATCCCGCCCCACGGAGTGGAGCGACACGCCATCTGCGTGCAGGGCATAGCCGGTCGCCAGGGCCGCCGTGGCGACGCGCGGAGCAACAAGTTCCCGACCGCATGCACGTGATGGGGAGAGGAGGGGACGAGGAGGCGCGAGGAGGAGGGCCGGGGGAAGGGCGACCAGGACCTGAGGAGCGAGGAGGGGAGGAGGAGGAGGAGGAGGAGGAGGAGGAGGAGGAGGAGGAGGAGGAGGAGGACGACGACGACGAGGAGGGAGAGGAGGAGGAGGAGGAGGAGGAGGAGGAGGAGGAAGAGACGGAGGAGGAGAAGCGAGGTCGCGCAGGAGGAGGGTGGGGGGAAGGAAGGCGAGGCTGGCCCCGCAGGCAGCACGGCGTCGCCCACCCGACGGAGGCCGGTGTTCGATGCGGTCACTGGGCGCCGTTGCGGCTGG